AGAGAGAATGAGAGAGAGAGAGCACATGAGAGGGGGGAGGGGCAGAGGGAGAAGCAGGCTCCCTGCCGAGCAGGGAGCCCGATGCGGGACTCAATCCCGGGACTCCAGGATCATGACCTGAGCCGAAGGCAGTCGTCCAACCAACTGAGCCACCCAGGCGCCCTATCGCTGATGTTTTTAAAGAAGATTTATCTGATCTTTCAAAAGATCAAAGTATTATAGTCCTTCTTTCATCCTCCAACCCATGTAATGTGATTTTCATGTGAAGATGCAAAAACTCCAGGAAGGTCATTTTTGATGTCCTGGTATCAATTTTATCTTTGAGTCCAAAATAGTATCACAGAAATCGTTGGTACACAGTGCATGTTTGTTGAGTGAATAATCTGTAAAATGTGAAGGAGATGGATATAATAAGAATTAGGCATATTGTGTGTATATGATCTATCAGTATTTTCTGAATTTCTGCTGTGCTTAGAACACTACCTTAAGCATTCAAATTTTGGTTATTGTTCCTTGAGGTACAGTAAGTAGCTTTTTTATAAGCTATAGTATTTTTTAAAATCAGTACTCTTGCAAATTCCTTTGAGGAATTTAAATATAAACTGTACATGTGGTAGTCGTGCTGGTCTGAGGTCTGCTGCAGTAACTAGTGAAGCTTGAAATATCCTGAAAATGTGATAAGGCACAAAACAGATTTCTTTCTTACTCATGAAGTGACTTCTGTGGGTCCAGTGGATCCAGAACAGCTCCCTTCAAGTAATTAAGTCAGGGATTCGGTTGGCTTTTGTCTTCTGGTGCAACTCATGGCTTTTAGTTTTCATGGAAGGGACAGAGCTTTTCCCTGCCTTATTCCGGAAGTAGCAAGTATTGCCTCTACTCACAGCCCAGTGGTCAGAATTAGACATATGGCTCAATATAATCACAAAAATTCCAAGAAGTATTGTCTAAGTGCCCAGGAGGAAAGGAAACCAAATATTGGCAATGACTAATGGGATTACAACTTAGACCGCATGCCATGGAGCTCAGAGGTCAAAAGACTGTCCATTCATTCATTTAACGTTTAACCAGTAAGATCACAGATGCCTAATAGTAAGTGATTTAGTTGCAGTCGTTTCTCACAATGAAAGACATTATACTGTAAGGCTGACGACATAAATGTACTTTTGGGGACAGTTGCTATATTTTAGCAAAGTTATTTTTTTGATAATAGAAAAAAGAGCATTAAAATGGCAATACCTTTATGATATCTTTTACATTAAGAAACCTGGAACTAGGTCATCTAGAGAGGCTATCTTAATTCTACAGCCATCAAGGTAAATATGAAGTCCATCAGGTCAACATTTTAGGTACCTGGAAGAAGGAAACAAAAGGAGGGATAAAGAGGTACAACTTTGAGCTGAGGCAGCTTTCTACAGGAAGCCTTCCAGTTTTTCCAATTGCACTGTCACTTACATGACATTAACCAGAACGGAATCACACAGTCAAAATAAATACAGCAGAGTGTGGGCGTTGTAGTGTTTTGGCTGGGCACTTTGCTTCCCTGAATAAATTAATGTTTTATTATTAAGAAAGAATGGAGGGAAAATATCGAGTGAACAATTAGCAAGTTCTGTTGTAGTTAAGAAGGATTTCTCTCTCTCTCTCTCTCTCTCTCTCTCTCACACACACATACACACACACACACACACACACACACACTAGAATATACAATCCCAAGTAAGTAGAGATTCCTTTGAGATTGTTCTCCTGTTGTTTCTATACTAATAAACCTCACTAGAGCAAAAGGGAAACAGTTTCTTTTTTTTTCTCCTATTACTTTTCTGTTCACAGAGTAAATGTTTCAGTAAATATTTCTGCTACTGACTTTGCCATTAAATAGAACCTTATTTATTGAATTTAGACGCAGTAAAGCAATTGATATTTTAATTTAGTCAAATACAGTAATATAATATGATCAGAGCTTTAACTTGTCCTTAGCCGTCATGGTCCTATATACCCCTCTATACTTTTAATTAACATTTGCCTCATAAAGGGAAGGCTTAGAAACAGATGTACCTGTTTTAATATTGAGACTTCATATACAGCATTTCTTGTTCCTTTCAGTTTATTAGTATGAGAATAATGAAAGAAGGCCTGAGCCATACAAAGCCTGGAATCTGGATTCAGCATGTTTGCTACCTATTACAGAGAATTAATTTAACTTATTTTCATTTGCCCCACCTTTGTTTGCCTTCTCCACAGGCTATATATTGATGGTCCATTTGGAAGTCCATTTGAGGAATCGCTGAACTACGAGGCTAGCCTCTGTGTGGCTGGAGGCATTGGAGTAACTCCATTTGCATCAATACTCAACACCCTGCTGTATGTTATTTTGATCCGTTTTATTAGTTCAAATAGAGAACTATCAGTATTTCAAACATCTCTCTCTTAGTATGAGGTAATCCCTCATAGAATTTGTCTACAGTAAGCCCCCTCTTATATAGAGGGAATACGTTCCAAGATCCCCAGTGAATGCCTGAAATTGCAGATAGTACTGAACCCTACATACATTATGTTTTTTCCAATAAATACATGCCTGTGATAAAGTTTAACTAATAAGTTAAGCACAAGAAGAGATTAACAATAATAACTAATATTAAAATAGAACAATTACAATACTATACTGTGATGAAAGTTATGTGAGTGTGGTGTCTCTTTCTCTCCCTCAAAATATCTTATTGTTATATACTCACCCTTCTTCTTGTGATGAGGTGAGATGGTAAAATGCCTATGTGATGAGATGAAGTGAGGGGAATGATGTAAATATTATGCTGCTATTGACCTTCCAACAATATGTCAGATGGAGAATCATCTGCCTCCGTGGATGACCGCGGATAACTAAAAACCACAGAAAGTGAAACCACAGATAAGGAGGGACTACTGTACTTGTTGTTCATAGAACTCCATTTACTGATTGATGAGGGTAATAATTCAATGATTCTCAGTATGTGGTCCATGGTTTTCAGCACACTGTCTTGTAAAGTATCACCATAGGCATTCCTCTGTCCTTTTTTTTTAAATTTTTTTAAAATTTTTTTTATTATGTTAATCACCATACATTACATCATTAGTTTTTGATGTAGTGTTCCATGATTCATTGTTTGCGTAAAACGTACTGCATGGAGCACTGGGTGTTATCCTCTGTCCTTTTAAAGCCATTCCACCAGCCTTCATTTCTGTACTTCCTCCTAAATGGTAAGTGGCAACCCTCATCCATTCTATCAGTAATTATCTTTGAGTACCTGTGTGCCAATCCGTCCTATAGGGACTAGTAAATACAGCAATGAATGAAACAGAGTCCCTGCCCTTAAAAAGCTTATATTCAAATGGAACAGGTAAAATAGAAACCAGTGAGAAATTCATAAGTAACATTATTTCAGAAAATATTAGAACTCTGATAAAAAGAAGAGAGATTAATGGGATATGGAAATAAAGGGCTGGGGTCATTGTAGACGTATGGTCAGGAAAAGCTTTGCTAGGGAGATGACAAATGAGCCCATGATTCCTTGGTCTGTTACTCAGCAAATTTATAACAGACTGAAGAATAGAAATTTCAAATGTAAGATTGCTCATGTAGGAAAGACTTTTTCAGTTATTTTTGTTCTAGGATGATAAGCAAAAATTAATGGATTAGTATTATGAAAACACAAACAAAAAAACAGTAGGAAATTAGTCTCCAATCTATTCCGTTCACTTTTCAAGTAGACACAATTTGCTTTAAGAGTCTTTTATAAAGTACTAAAGAAGGAAATAATAAAGTTTAAATGATGTGTTTGAATGATATTTTATTTCAATTTTAAATACTTGTTACAAATTTGGGACTTTTTGGAGGTTCTTAGAAAAATAACCATATTCCAAGCCAGAAATCATTTGTTTCTGAAAACATACTGCAAGTTATTTGGACACTTAAAGTTAAGAAAAGGAGAAAATATTTTCTTAGCCTCAAGCCAACTTCATAATTATAAATAGGAATCCAGACTTGGAATTACGAGGCCCTGGAATGCATTACATAGTAGGTGACTGTTACATCTCTTTCTTTAATGATTTTTAAAAGGGGATAAACAACCAGCTTTCTGGAATGGTTTTGGCTCATTTTGCCTGGAGGCCAGGGCATGGCTAATAACCACTGGAGCCCTGCTGAGTGATAAAATTCACTGAAAATAGAGAACTTTTTTTCTGAGACATGGGGCTCATATTCTCATTCAGGAGTTTAGTTTATTGCCTTCATCTGAAAATGGGTGATATGCATATAATATTCACAAGCATAAACACTTAAACTCATGGAGTATATCATGCCTCTGAGCCCATATATTACATTTTAAATTCATCTGAGAGTCATGGTAAGTGCAATGACAAATGATAAAAAATGATAAATTGATACATGTAAGTGACTGGTTTTTCATTAGTAAATGAAAAGCAAATTTTCAAAGATACAAGGATTCTTTTTTTTTTATTTTTTTTGCCATCCTAATCACTATCATGTTCTTTAATTTTAAAGGGATGACTGGAAACCATACAAGCTTAGAAGATTATATTTTATTTGGGTGTGCAGAGACATCCAATCCTTCCGTTGGTTTGCAGACTTACTCTGTGTGTTACATAACAAGGTAAAATTAGGTTTGCTTTTACTTGTGCAATGTTTTTAAATAAAAAACTTTTTTTTTTCAAATTACAAAAGCAATAAATGCTCACTGTAGAATAAACCAGAAAATAATGCAGATAAGTTGAAAGAAGGAAAAAAATCTCTTAAACTTCAAATAACAGAAGTAGCATATTAATAATTTAGTACACATATTTTCAGGTATTGATAACTGACAGTATGTGTTTATATCTATGATATGTTTTAACATAAAAATGCTACTATTGTTTTAACATAGGAATGTAGGCATATGGCCGATGGTGTATGCATATGCGGTGGGAGGGAAGACCGCGTAACATCAGCTGATGGTAGCTACTACACTTTCCATCCTTTGTTCTGTTAGCTCTGACCTCTTATTTCCACCTTTAATATTCCAAATGGACAATCACTAGACTTTTGGCACACTAGGCAGAATTTCAAAACCAAAATTCTAAGTTTTATTTCTTATAGAGATTAAAAAAAAAAAAGACCTTCTTCATCTATCCTACACATAACCTTTTATCTATATATTAATATATGTATCTTTATTTTTCAAATTATGTAAGTGATACACATGCATTTTGCTGCAATTTTTTTCCTTTTCCTTTTTTTAAAGATTTTATTTATTTATTCATGAGAGATGGGGGGGCAGTGCAGAAGGAGAAGTAGACCCCCACTGAGCAGGGAGCCCAACGCAGGACTTGATCCCAGGACCCCAGGATCACGACCAGAGCTGAAGGCAAACGCTTAACTGACTGAGCCACCCAGGCGCCCCTCCCTTTTCTTTTTAATTGTAGTATAGTTAACATACAGTAGTATGTTAGTTTCAAGTGTACAACATAATGAATCAATGATTACACATTGCAAACTGCTCACCACAATACAATATGTGTAGTGATAATCTGTCACCTATAAAATTTTTATTATACTATTGAGTATATCCCCTATGCTGTAATTTTCATCCTTGTGACTTATTTATTTTATAACTGGAAGTTTGTACCTCTCAGTCCCTTTTACCTTTTTGACCCATTCCTCCACCCCCTCTTCTTTTTGGCTACCATAGTTTGTTCTCTGTATTTATGAGCCTGTTTCTGTATATTTGTTTTATTTTTTGGACTCCACATATAAGTGAAATCATATGGTATTCATCTTTCTCTGATTTATTTCACTTAGCATAATACCCTCTAGGTCAATCCATATTGTTGCAAATGACAAGATCTATTTCTTTTGTGTGTGTATATACACACACAAAAGAAATATATATATATTCCTTATCCATATATATATCCATGTATATATATATATATATATATATATATTCCTTATCCATTCATATGTCAGTAAACTCTTAAGTTGCTTCTTTATCTTGACTATTGTAGATGATGCTGCAATAAACATAGGGGTGCACATATCTTTTCAAATTAGTGTTTTCATTTTCTTCGAGTCAATATCCAGTAGTGGAATTACTGAATCATATGGTATTTCCATTTTTAATTTTTTGAGGCACCTCTATACTATTTTCCACAGTGCTTGCATTTCCACCAACATTACATGAGGATTCTCTTTTCTCCACATCCTCACCAACACTTTACTATTTCTTTTTGCTACTAGCCATTTTGACAGATGTGAAGTGATATCTCATTGTGATTTTGATTTGCATTTCCACAATGATTAGTGATATTAAACAGTTTTTCATGTGTCTCTTGGCCATCTGTAGGCCTTCTTTGGCAAACTGTCAAACAACTTAGATAAACCAAATCCTCCCTTACTACTTTCCTCACCTAATCTGTGTAACCAGAGGCAACTCATGAGCGTTCTATAAATTCTACCATACTATTTGTATTGTTCTAGGAATTACTTATTTTAAACTTATCACTATGTCTTGAACATTTTTAATAATAGTACATTTAGAGTTACCTCATTCTTTTTAGTGCTATAGAGTATTTTGTCATATGGATGTACTTAGTACTCTATTTAGCCATCCCTTAATAATGGATATTTACTTTTTTATTACAAAGAACACTACAATGATGGGGCCCCTGGGTGGCTCAGTCGGTTAAGCATCCAACTCTTGATTTCAGCTCAGGTCATGATCTCAGGGTCCTGGGATCGAGCACTACATTGGGCTCTGTGCTCAGCGTGGAGTCTGCTTGGGATTCTCCCTCTCTCCCTCTCTTTGTCCCTCTCTCTCTAAATAAATAAATAAATAAATAAATAAATAAATAAATAAATAAATAAAATCTTAAAAAAAAGAACACTGCAATGAATATCATACATGTCTTTTTATTCAGATCCATTTATTCAGTCTGTCATTCTGTCACTCATCAAATATTCACTCATTACCTACTATGAATCACAAACTGTTCTAGGACCTGGAGCTACATTGGAGAACACAATTAAAAGCAATTTTTTTATCTCATGTGATTTACATCCTAAGTGGGGAAGATAGGGGTGCCTGAGTGGCTCAGTTGGTTAAGCATCTGCCTTCAGCTGAGGTTATGATTCCAGGGTCCTGGGATCGAGCCCTGCATCGGGCTCTTTGTTCAGCGGGGAGCCTACTTCTCCCTCTCTCTCTGCCTGCCACTCCCCCTGTTTGCACTCTCTCTCTCTCAATAAATAAATAAAATCTTTTAAAAAAACAATTTACATTTCCACCAAAAAGTATGAGAGACATTTATTCTAAAATGTTATATTACCAATCTTTTAAATTTCTACCAATGTCTTAAACAGTGAGATCTCATTCTATTTTCTCCTAAATGCTAGTGAGATTGAACCTCTCTTCCTGTGATTGTTGACCAGTTGTATTCCTTTTGGGATTTCCTAATTCTACCTTTATTTTTCTAATTTTTAATCTTTCTTGAACTGATATATAGAACCCATACATTTTTTTAAGTAAAATGATCCAAGATATGGACAGGCACATTTGAATAACAGATGCTTTATAAGGCAAGGAGTGGGGGAAGGAAAGGAATAAAGGAAAGAAAAGAATGTTAAGTGACTGGACCCTCAAAGGAGTTGAATCTTAAGATTTATGTTTTCTTTCCATTTCAAGTTTTTTTGATGGATGTGCTTTACCCTTAGGATTCCATAGAGTAAATAATATAAAAGCTTAAAACTAGTGTAAACAATACAGTGATGATTATCTTCTACACACACCTCTGCATCTATGTTTTGATTTTTCACATCAGAGGGATGAACACAGGTCCTTCAGTTGTGTCTCAGAGGATGATGTGTTTGCAACTGTGTTACCAAGTTTGGGGTGTGTGTGTGTGTGTGAGAGAGAGAGAGAGAGAGAGAGAGAAATCAATAGCAATAGAGCATAGGGTCTTTACATAGAGTCTGTGTAAGAGTAGCGGAAAGTGTTTTTGAAAACCAGATGAAAATGCAGTCCTTCAATCTTGTTCCAACTGTGAGTTCTTTCACATCATTCTAGAATGCCTAGGACAAAGCTATCTTAGTTGCCCTAGTCACTTGTCTTGGTGTCAGACTATCTTCAGTGATGATAAAAATGGATCTTAGGTGGATTTTGCTTGGCCAGATTGTCCAACCTGGTGATGGAAGAGTGCAAGGCCAGGTGTCAGGTGATCTGGTACCAGCTCTGCCAATATCTAACAACATGACTTGCTTCAAGTCACTTCACCTCTGTAAGTCATATTAATAAAATCAAAATGGAGGATCAGGGCTCCATTAGGCATTTGGGTCTGTCATTTACAATGGAACAGTGATTCTACCTCATATGAACCGCAAGCCCTTGCGTAAATCACTTAACCTCTATAAACCCGATTTATGCTTCCAATTTGTAAAGGAAGCTAACAGCACTTGAAACCTGATGTGAGACTTAGCTTTAACATACCGAAAGTATCTATCATTTTGAAGGCATTTAATAAACGATTGCTATGATTCCTATTAGTGATCTGTAAAATTCCTTCCAGGACTCACATCCTGTTATTTTTTATTTGTGAGAAAAATAAGGAAGAGTACAGGCAGGAGACATAAAGTGAAAAACATGATATTTGTGCATGATCCTACAATCCTAATCTATTTGCAAGATTGTGTTGATCCACATGTCTATTTTTTCACTGTTCCTTTATTTGGAGAACATTGTGCCTTTAGTAGATATTATTGTCTTCAGTGACGGGTAAGTTAAAGTGGAGACATCGAAATCATTAAAAACATTATCCAAATGTGCATAGTTCTTACTCGGGGCTGTGGGCACGAAACACAGTTATCGATGCAGGAGTCATAGGACTGATCTCAGAACAGCATCCTGGTAGACATTTAAGACAAGACTCAACACAAGCCATGTGTTTTGTGAGGTGTTTTAGTGGCATCTAGAAGTTTCTATTTCTTCACAATTAAAATTTATAAACCCTGATTCAATTCAGAAAGGGCCTAAAAATGAATTTAGCATTTGGATATAACTTGAGGCAGCTATTTGATGGGATATAATTAATGATTATATTTTAAGAATATTATGGAGCTGAGAATCATCACATCACTCTTAAAGTAAAATATGTTTTTATTGGGATTTTATATTCAGAGTTTCCAGCTGTTAGAAAATGTATCATTTTAGATCTGAAAAGAGCATTCCTTCATCCCCATCCCCTATTTCACCCATCCCAGTGCCCACCTCCCCTCTGGTATACATTAGCATATTCCCTGAAGCTAAGAGTCTTAGTTGGTCTCTCTCTCTCTTTTTTTCCCCTTTGCTCATTTGTTTTGTTTCTTAAATTCCACATATGAGTAAAATCATATGGTATTTGTCTTTCTCTGACTGACTTATTTCACTTAGCATTATACTCTCTAGCTCCATCCATGTCACTGCAAATGGCAGGCTTTCATTCTTTCTGATGGCTGAGTGATATTCACTGTGTGTGTGTGTGTGTGTGTGTGTGTGTGTGTGTGTCTCACATCTTTATCTATTCATCAGTCAATGGACACTTGGGCTATTTCCGTAATTTGGCTATTGTAGATAATGCTGCTTTAAACATCATTATACTATATAGAAACAGTACTTTAAATCAGTTGATCCTCTTGCTGCAATAAAGTCCAGCAAAACCTTACCATCTCAAGCAAACCCACTATGCCGATTTACGCTCAAGAAATGGTTTGGCTGGGACACCTGGGTGGCTCAGTCAGTTAAGCATCTTCCTTTGGCTCAGGTCATGATCCCAGGGTCCTGGGATTGTGCCCTGCATTGGGCTCCTTGCTCAGCAGGGAGCCTGCTTCTTCCTCTGCCTGCTGCTCCCCCTGCTTGTGCTCTCTCTCTCTCTGTCAAATAAATAAGTAAAATCTTTAAAAAAAAGAAAAGAAAAGAAAAGAAATGGTTTGGCTTTTGAAGAAGTGCTGGTCCTGTCACCTGAGACACTCAGATCCACACCTGTCCTCCAAGGAGCCCACCATGCTCTTGTATTCCTCTCCTTTTCTTCTTCTGCTTTTGGTGCCTGGTCCTTATATTTCAGCTTCTCCTTATTTCAGGGTGGTGAAAGTCGGCCCTAAGAAGAATACTTTTAAGAATAAAAAAATTATTTTAATAATTATTTAAAATTTTTAAATATTTCAAATCATATTTCTATAATATTTTTAAAATATTTTTAAAATTTTTAAATATTTTTTCGTTTAAGTTTTTATTTAAATTCCAGTTAGTTAACTTACAGTGTAACGTTAGTTTCAGGTGTGAAAATATTTTTAAAAGAATAGATTTCTGGACTCAGTCAGAGTCAGGTCAGTTATTAGTAGGTTCATTTTTGAATGAAAATGAAGAAGGCAAAAGGAAGCATACAGGGACAGCAACAACACTTTTACCCTCTTTGTTGGGTTTATTTTCCTTCAGATGATATTTTTCTTATTTTACTTTTCAAGGTTTTGAAATGTTTGAGATCTTTTCCAGACTATTTTTTCTTTGGCAGGTATACTTCCTGCCTCATACAGTTTTGTGCAAGGAGAACCAGTGCTGAGTAGGAGGAAGGCAGGAACAGGAACAGGAACAGAGCCTTTTGTTTTTGTCTTGTTTTGATTTCTTTGATTCCTAGCATGTATATTATATATCACTATTTGTGTGTTGTTGTTGTTTTTTAAGAAAATCATGTTCTTTATGAGTGAACTCGACTATAATTTAGGGACTCAGAATAAAATAAGAGATATATGGAAGGATTTAGGGGAATATCAGTGTAGTATTTAGCATGCTTGATTCTGTATCTGTAAAAATAACAGAATTATTCTCTTACTGCTACCACGATCTACTATTTCCTTATCACTACACTGCTGCCGCTTGCACTAATTGTACCAGGAGGATGGGTTCTTAATGCTAGAATCTGGCATGTGTATGGCTTATAAATGTTGACTGTGATTAGACGAGATACATCTTAAATTGTGGAATCACGTATGTTAGAAGAGGAGAAAGTCTGAGTCTACAGAGAGAATGCTCACGTCTATTTACTTTTATGTCCTCTCAGTTTTGGCAAGAGAACAGACCTGACTATGTCAACATCCAGCTGTACCTCAGTCAAACAGATGGGATACAGGTATGTGGTTGGATGTTTTTATAAATTAAACAAGCCTCTTGATAATAGAAGATTTTCTGTTGGGGCTGTGTTGGAGGAAAATTTCTGCAGGTGGTTTGAAGAGAAGTTTCCCAGAGGAAGGCCTCTTTTGGAGTGTGTCCAGAAAACCCATGGCTTGTCCTGGAAGCCAACCATGTTATGCCTTTCATTTGTCCTCCTCACCGGGAGCTGGTACAGACCTTTGAGTTCTTCTCTCTCCTTTTCATTGTTGTCTCAAATTCTTTACCTCTAGAGATCAGACCAGAAGCGAACAGTCTCATGATTGTGTTCGTCGAGGGGAGTTTTTATGTGAAGAGAAAAGATAAGGTCATACGTAGTTAAGCTTATTTCTTCTCTCCACAGGAAACTAAAAATGTAGTAATAGCCACCATGCGTTATTTATTTGCTGCGCTAGACACTGTTGTTGAGCATTTCATATTATATTGTGTGATTCCAACAGGTAGATGATAGTGCTATTCCCATGTTATAGATGAAGAAACTGATGTTTACAGATGACACTGAAGGCCATGTGGGTGTGTAAATCCGGGCACGGATGCTTCCGCGAGTTTTATTTTAGTATTTTCCATTATACATTTTTTATAACACTTTGGATACAAAATACGAACGCTTGTCAGTTACTTCAAAACTAACCTAACCCTACTTTTTCTAGTCAGATTTCTACTCCACTTGGTATGTAAAAAAAATATTTCATTTTACTATTCTCACGAAGCAAGTCAGTATCACTATTCCTCGCGGTACGGATGTGATGAAGGTGCGGAGCGTACGTTGCATTGGTTCTCAGTTTGTCCGCCTGCGACTCAGACACTTTCCCCTCTCCTCTCACCTCACTCGGGCCCTTAATTGCCGATCCAGGTCTCATCTTCTGTTCATTGCAAACACCAGCCCGTTAGAAGTTATTTGTTGATAGACCCAAGATTTGGAGCTCTTCTAGCTCAGGCTGTCTTGTCTAGGATCATTTCCCCAAATTTATGATGGCAATTTGTAGTATTTTACTCATATAATGAGCCAAATATGAAGACGGTATTTGCAGTGCCAAAACACTTCAATAAATTTATGTGCTGCCGCCGTTTTGAGAGTAGGCAATTAAAATGCATTCTTTAACATTGCAGTTGTTAAAAACAAAGCAACCAACTGAAGTCTAGGAAAATCAGCCATTTGTAACAATGGCATTCAAGAAGATAATGGATTTTAAGGAAAAGAGGAAGGAAATGATGCTTCGAAATGACTGTACTTAATAGCTTGCCATTTGATACTTGTATTTCTTGATATCACACCAATTTGGTAGGAAGCCACAGCACCAGTAGAAATGATGTTAGAAAAATAGGTTGTTCGTCCAACTCTGTGCCGTATAAAATATAGTGCTTTCTTTTTGGCAGAAGATAATTGGAGAAAAATATCAAGCACTGAATTCAAGACTTTTTATTGGACGTCCTCGGTGGAAACTTCTGTTTGATGAAATAGCAAAATGTAACAGAGGGTAAGTATTATTGCTTAGGAAATTTGCCATGTGGCTAATGATCAAATTAAAATATTCTCAAGTCATTACATGTAGTTTTTAAAGATGAATTAGGTAATGGGTTTACAAATTACAAAGTCGCTTAAACACTCAATTATCACTAGCAAAGGAGGAGGCAAGGCAGGGACCACCTCACAAATCTGAAACGCCAAATAATTAGAATTTGGCTTAGAAATAGTCTATTAAAGTATTTATGAACGAAACTCTCCTACCTACTTTCAAATTTGTGTAGACCCATGTAAAAAAATGGGTATTCATTCTGATATCATGTATCATGTGATCATTGGAAAAACTTCAAAATCTCATTGGCAAATAGGGGAGCTCTACCAGCAGTTCTAACAATGAATGCACTTAAAAATCAGATTTTTAAACTTTTCATGAAAATGAATAAATTTTTAAAAACGCTTAATTGTAATATGCCGTCTCTAAAACAGGATTATTTCCAAACATAATTTTTTTTTTCTTGGAAGCTGTAATTCTCTGAAGAATCTTAGCATTAGGGAATATGTGTCTGTGATCTGAAGAGATGACTGTGGAAGGAGAGCATTTGCTTTAGGGCACAGACTAGCCAACCCCTTTGTCTCCTGTAAACTTGTAGTTCAAGGCAATGGCCTACAAGAATTCTAAAAGCAATTTGAAAACCGTATACCCACTCAGACATTTTAAATTTGGCATTGAAATAGTTTCATCAAAAGTTTAAATAGTTGCAAAGCTCTAATTTCTAACATATTGCATGTGTTGACATTTTAAAATTAGTGTAAATCTTTAAACATGTCTACTGGAATTGAAATACCAGTTTTTTGATACCAATCTCATATATTGGGAAGACATACAAACAAGCTTTCATTAGCAGTTGGAAATTTTACATTATTTTTCTACTTGAACTTCTATTTCTGTCCTTTTCAACCTGTAGAATTTATCAAAATTCAATGTGTTTTTTTACATTTGAACTAATCATATTTTTGTTGCTTAAGTAAACATACTTCTGCAGTAAGACTGTAGATAAATTGAAGATTTAAGTTTTTTAAATTTCCTTTGGCTCTGTGGCTCTTCTAGGTTGATTTATCATGATAATTATTAGTATATAGTTGGTCAATTCATAATTTAAAAACTACATTTTTATAAATATAAAAAGGATATTTATAAATGAATGGGGCAGCTTATTGAAGAGTTTTAAAAAAGCTTCAATTCATGAATTCATGGGTGACTATGATTTATTGAAAGACTCACTGATTCATCATGGTCCTTGACTCCATCTTCAGAAATTTTGTTTTAGGAATTATCACGTGGAGCCCCAGGAGCAAATTTTAAAAAGGAATATAGCTACCCATGAAAGTCAGGTTGTAGTTACGTTTGAAACCACTTCTGCATTTCCCTTCTCTTGATGAAATAGTTTTGGATTGAAAAGGGAAGCATTATTTTGGAAACAGAGGTCCTTTGTAATAATTAGGGCCCTAGTTAAAGGTCAACTATAGAATTAAAAAAATGTCACCCCAATTTTGGTTATATTCTTCTCCCATCTTTCTCCAGTATCCTCCACCTTAGACATGATAATCTTGTCATACTTACCTGGGTCTCTCAATGTACCATAGACTCCTTTCTCTTTAATGACAGTCAGCTGACTTCTGACAAGCATTCTTTCATTAAATTTTATAGTGTACTAATGAAAACTTTGGAATTTTGTTGTTGTTGCTATTGTCTTTGCTCAATTCTGAAACCAAACTCTACATCAGTAGAGGATCGCTTATAAGAAATTAGATTGGGATTATTGATTTCTTTGGTTACTTCTTAAGAATTCTCATTTGTTAAACTGTTCATGACTTAGACTTTGTATGTTTATTTGGTTGGTTGTTCATTTTCTTCATACAGCAAAGCTGGTTTAAGAAGAACAAGTGTGCACCATCTACTGTTGACATTTTGTACAACACTTTCACTTTGTGTATTTGCTCTGGACAGGCACTTAAAATGCATTATTTTTAAAGAATTTTTACGTGGCATATTTAGGAAAAGAATGGATCAACATCTTAAGGGTTCACCAACTAGAAAAAAGATGCTATTTATACAGAAGTCCTTATTTTAGATGTAAAATTCTGGTTAACCTCAAGTACATAAATTACTGAAAGAATATATAGAGACACACATACATACTTATAAAAGTATATATTCATATATATGTGCATGTATACATATGCATATATATATTTAAAATCTATACACTGAAATTATGAACCTTAATTTTTAAACAAAGTTGAATGAATTTATAATATAGAATTCTTCAATGTATCTTTTTCAGATACACTCATATATTGTTCATGGATAATTTCCATGTAATTCTACCTCATAGTATTCTAGAATATGGATAACATGATCGTTGCTACCCTACTTATGGATATTTAGGTTACCTCCAGTCCTTTACTGTTACAAATAATGCTATGGTAATTCTCTTTGCACATACTTTCTCATGCTCTTGTGGGAATATTGCAGTAGGTTAGGATCCTTGAAATGGAATTGCTGGCTCAGAGAGTATGCACATTTAGATACTGTCCTATCAAAACCAAAAGGGTGAATCAATTTATACTCAATTTACTTTACACACATCTATGAGGTGGTTCCTTCCTTATGTGCCTTTTTTAAATTCAGAAAATGAATTATGTAATGGTATGATCAAGGAAGGTGAAGGAGCTTTTGAAGTCACCTGCTTTCATCATTTTTTTAAGATTTTTTTTTTTAAAGATTTTATTTATTTATTTGAGACAGAGAGAATGAGAGAGACAGAGAGCACATGAGAGGGGGAGGGTCAGAGGGAGAAGCAGGCTCCCTGCCTAGCAGGGAGCCCTATGCGAGACTCAATCCCGGGACTCCAGGATCATGACCTGAGCCAAAGGCAGTCGCTTAACCAACTGAGCCACCCAGGCGCCCAACCTGCTTTCATCCTTATTTTACAAGTGAAGAAGCTAGGACCCGAAAAGATAATGATTTATCTCAAGCTATGGTTAATGAGTCAGAATTCAGACATGAATCCTATGTTCTGACTGTAAAGTTCAATGTACTTTATTTACTACAAAGCATGGTCACAAGTAGAAAGAGTAGCAATTTGATGTTACCATGCCCCTCTTGGGGACAGTGAGATGTTGCAAGAAACCATCATGTTCACTATGCATATTGCAACAGAATGTTAACTCTAATATACTAGAAGTGTCAACAACTAATTTTTCAAAAACATAAAAGATATTCTAAATATTACTTTATAAGCCATTCAGTATTTAATAGGATGACAGGAAATCTTTTTTTATTGTCTGAACCACAGTCCATTTTCCTATTATTTGTAATAAAAATATATATCATATCATAAATTAGTCGAATTTATGCATTATTCAAGAGAGAAATAAAGGAATAATTTTATGTGGCCTTTGGAGTAGAGAACTATTACTCTGGGATTGGGTGAAATGTCTGAGACCATATCTACATTCTCCTGCCTCATGGTGTTTTAAAAACAATACAAATTAAGAATACCCAGACTTGCTGTCTAACATTTGGTCTGTGTCCCTGGGTCAAGTCACTCAAACTTTCTGGGTCTGTATTACAAGGAGTGAATAAGCTGTCATTATTATGAGACCCCACATTTACAAATCTGCATGGAAAAACAAAGATTGGTATAATAGGAAAATATGCACAAATATATTGAACATTTATGGAACTAGTTCCCAACATCTGACTCCAAACAACATTCTCTGCTTTAGCATCTATCTCTACCCATATCAGCAAAGTTTTTGTAGATAAATCTGTGGATGATTGTTGGATTGCAGCAACCTAATGCAAATTTAGTACAAATGGATTGCAGAGACTAAGTATAGATCTTGAAAAAGTTAGAGGATCTCATTGTTAGTGAAAGTAACGTTGGGGAACTCCTCAAATTACACAGAAATCTAATTTGTTAAATTAGTTAACAAATGCAATACAAAATGTAAATATATATATATATGATATATGGGTGCTTTAAAAATAATAATTTTGTTGTGGAACATTTAAGAGAAGCCTTTGGGAAGTCTGTAAAAATTGAAAAGCTAACTTTATAATTGCCTGTGAAGAAAGTAATGGTATCTTATTGTAGTGTAGTGTTGACAGAGAATGACTACAGACAAAATGACTCAGTGCTTTCTCATTTACATGAAAACCACATTACGTTTCTTGTTTGTCTTTGGTTTTTGGTGATATAAACTGAATGGTTCAGTTTTATTCAATTTAAGTAACCTAGTGTGTCTAGATCTGGTTTTAATAGTAATCTAAATTTTATTAAGTATAATTTATTTTCATACTTCTTTTTTATTTTCTTCTAATTAAGTTTTCTTTTGCTAGTTTCTTAAGGTAGAACCTTATATCATTGATCTCAGACCCTTGTTCTTTTCTAATAAAAGTGTTCAATACTATAAATTCCTCTCTCAACACTTTAGCTACATCACACAAATGTTGGTATGTTTTCATTTTTATGCACTTCAAAATATTTTTAAATTTTCCATGTGATTTCTTCTCTTTTGTTTAATTTCCAAACATGTGGGGATTCTACATATATATTTTTGGTTTTGATTTCTAGTTCACTTGGGTTCTGTTGAGAAAATATACTCTTTGTGATTTCAATCCTTTAAAATTTATTTGAGATCATTTTACTGCCCAGAATGTGGTCTCTCTTGATGAATGTTCCACACGCACTTGAAAAGAATTTGTATTCCATTGTTTGGGGATAGAGCACACTATAAATACCATTTTGTTCCAATTGCTTGATAGTGATATTCAGGTCTTCAATACGCTTACTGATTTTCTATTTGTTCTGTCAATTACAGAGAGAAGAGTGTTGAAATAATCAATCGTAATTCTAGATTTATACATCTTTACAGTCCTATTAGTTTTTGTTTCATGTATATTGGAGTTTTTAGTTGGAGGATTTAGTTCTAGTGTTTAAACTATTCCATTACATATTATTATTGCATTTTATTATATTTATTCATTACAAAATATATTACATTTTATTATTTTATGGAGTAAAAATATTGTTGGATTTTTTCCAGCTTTACTGAGATGTAATTCACACATAATACTGTGTAAATTTAATATGTACAATGTAATGATTTGATATATGTATATATATATTGCAAAATGACTACCACAAGAAGATTAATCAACACAGCCATCACATCACATAATTACAATTTGTGTGTGTGTGTATGCGAAGAAAACTTTTAAGATCTACTCTCTTAGCACCTTTCAAATATACAACACAGTATTGTTAACTATAGTCACCATGCTGTACATTACATTCCCAGAACTTATTCTTCTTATAGAAGTTTATAATTCTTTGTCAACCTTCACCCATTCCCTACCTCTCCCATCTGGCCGTGGTAACCACCAATCTGCTCTCTGTTTCAATGAGTTTGGGTTTTGGGGGGTTTTTTTAGAGTCCACATATAGGCGAGATCATACAGTATTTGTCTTTCTTTGATTTGTATCAGCATGGTGCCCTTGAGTTCCAATTATGTTGTAAATGACAGGAGTTCCTTCTTTTTTATGGCTGAATAATACTGCTGTTTGTGTGTGATATAAATAATTAACATATAAATATATATGTACATCACATCATGATTTCTTTAACCATTTATCCATTGATGGACACTGAGTTTGTTTCTATGTCTTGGCTATTGGAAGTAAAGCTGCAATTAACATGGAGATACAGATATTTTTTGAGATAGTGATTTCATTTCCTTTGGATATATACCTAGAACAGGGACTGCTGGATCATATGGTACTTCTTATAATTTTTTGAGAAACCTCCGTACTGTTATCCATAGTGGCTGCACCAGTTTACATTCCCACAGTAGTGCACAAGGGTTCCCCTTTCTCCACATCCTTGCCAATATTTGCCTCTTTGTCTTTTTGATAATAGCAGGTGTGAGATTCCTAGCAGATGTGAGATGATATCCCATTGTGGTTTTGGTTTGCATTTCCCTGAAGATTAATGATGCTGAGCACCTTGTCATGTGCCTTTTGGCTATTTTGAAAGTAGCCTGAACTTCTATTCAGGGTTTGCCTATTTTTTAATTCAATTAATATTATTTTATTATTTCTTTTCTTCTTTTTTCTTGTCTTCTTTTGCAATTTTGTTGTATGTATTTCTTATATATTTTGGATATTAGCCTCTTATCAGATATGTAGTTTGCAAATATTTTTTCCCATTCCATAGGCTGTCTTTTCATTTTGTTGATCATTTCTTGTGCTGTCAGAAGCTTTTTAATTTGATACAGTCCCACATTTATCTCTGCTTTATTGCTTGTACTTCTGGTGTCATATCCATGAAATTAACCCTAAGACATGTCAAGGAGCTTTTTCGCCTCTGTTTTCTTTTAGGAGTTTAATAGTTTAAGATCTTACATTTAAGTCTTTAATTCTTTCCAAGTTAATTTTTGTGAGTGGTGTAAAATAGGGGTCCAGTTTCATTCTTATGCATGTAAATATCCCATTTTCCCAGAACCATTTATTGAAGAGATGGTCTTTTTCTCATTGTGTATTCTTGGCTCCCTTTGATTGGGTTTAAATCTAGCAGTTTACTGTTGCTTTCTATTTATCTCATTTGTTCTTTCTCTTTCTTTCTTCATCTACCTTATTTTGGATTGAGTACATTTATGATTCCATTTTTTTCTCCTATATTGGCATATTAGCCATACTTCTCTGTTTGTCTGTTTGCTTTTAGTGATTTCTTTAAGGCATTGGTTCCCAAACTGCATTCCTTGGACCAGCATCACCTGGAACTTGTTAGAAAAGCAAATTCTTGAGCCCTATCCAAGATCTATGTTATCAGAAGCTCTAGGTCTGTGGACCAACTGGTGTATGGTCTGTGAAGTCCCTCAAGTAATTCTGATGAAGCTAAAATCAGAGGAACATTGTTCTCGGTTTAGAGTGTACATCATTAGACTAGTTGATATTGTGCCACAGGTCACTGAGCCTCTGTTCATCTTTTTTCCTAATTTTTATTCTCTGTGTGGTCCATTTGGATAGATTGTAGTGTCAGGTCTTTAAGTTTAATTATCTTTTCTTTTGCAGTGCCTATTTTTCTGTTAACCCATCAGAATATTTATGATTTTATTTTTTTTTTAGAATATTTATGATTTTAAATATTCCATTAATCACTAGAATTTCCACTTAGGCCTTTAAAAAATCTTCTATTTCTCTTCTCATCATGGTGATGCTTACCTTTGAATATAATGAAGCATGTTTCTCCTCACTGTTTCAATGAAATGTCTGATAAGTCCATCAATTTTGCCATTCTGGGCCTGTTTCTGTTGACTGATCTTTCTCCCTGTTACTAGTTGGCTTCCATAACAAAATCCCACAGACTGAGTGGATTATTTTTTCAAAGCCCTAGAGACTGGAAGACTAATATCAAGATGCCAGCAGGGTTGATTTCCTCTGAGACCTCACTCCTTGCCTTGCAGATGACCACCTTCTTGTTGCCTCTTCATAGGGTCTTTTTCTCTGAGCATGTACATTCCCTCATGTCTCTTTGTGTATCCAATTTTCTCTTATGAAGACATTAGTGAGATTGGAGTAGGATCCACTCTAAAGCCTTATTTTAACTTAATCACATCTTTAAAGCTTTTATCTCCAAATACAGCTATATTCTGAAGTACTGGGGGTTTGATTTTTTCCACATAATGAATTTTGAGGGGACATAATTCAGCCCATAACACTCCTAGTTTTGGTTTATAAAATTCTTGGTGATTTCTTATTGAGTACTGTACATTGTGAAATTTAGATGTTAAAAGCCATATTTTGATCTTTTCAATACTGTTGAACTTGTTTCTGGCATGCAGTTTTGTGACTTGGGTTCGGTTTGATCCTTCTGGGTATAGATCCAGAGCACCTTCAGTCTAAGGCTAATTTTACCAACATCCACTCTGCCTCTTGCAAGTAAGGTGATAACTTTCCAGAATACTACCCATTGCCCACATATGATATGTAGATCTTCCATTCCGGCTTGTGGGAATATGAATTATTCACAACCTTGTGTCAACTCAGAATTGTTCGCCTTACTGCTCCCTGCTAGTTCTTTATCCAGATTCATGTAGTTTCCCTCACACACGAGCACATCAGTACTCAGCCAAAGACTTGAGGATGGAGCTTCCTGCTGTGAATCTCTCATCCTTTCCACAAATTCTAGCCACTTTGTCCTCCATGAATTCCATTCTTTGTCTCATCAACTCAGTGAGACCCCCAGTCTTGGCTTGAGTTTCTCGGTGCTGCAGCCTGTAAATTGCCTCCAGGCCATAAGCAGAGACAGTTGCCAGCAACTGGTTTTCTCACCTTGTTTTTTCTCTTTTACCTACTGTCCAGTATCTGAATATACTTATTCCATGTATTGGGTTTTTCCCCTAGTTTTTCAATGCATGAGGGTAAATCTAGTCCCTGCTACTCTATCATGGCTGCAAGTAAAAGTTCTATTTTTGTAGTTGTTTCATTTTTCAAGGTGCAAAAATTCAGTAAAGCCATTTTTTAAGTATTTATTATAAAATCTTGGTACCCATTTAAATGGATTTACTGGTTTTTTTCAGCACCATTTATTCTCAGATAAGATAATGAGGACATACTATATTTATCCAGGATATGATATGAATTGTTAATCACTTTGGTATCATAGGAAGAATTCAATGTAAATAACAAACTTCGGAGGAAGATCGATGTGAAATACCAGTCATTTCCTGGGATTTATTTAGTCGATTTGTTAGGGGTATGTATAATTTATCTACTAAAATTTTATGTTAGCAAACAATAAAAACTGCTTGGCATTTGGTGCAGTTATTACAGCGCATAAATAAAAAAGAAAATGTATACAGATTAATATGCTTTTGTTTCAACATGGATATAAATTAGTTACTTAGAATTATCCTCTCAAATTGGTAATAGCTTTTCTTCTTTTACTCATCACTGCCCATGACAATTCATGGGATCTTTAGAAAAATGCATATAAAACATCTAGTAAGAGAAGATTGACATGACCCAGTGTGGATGGACATCTATCCACTGCTGCTCTTGATTTCATTTCTGCATATAATGGAAAGGCTAAGGGCAGACTGCTCACTTTCTGTCTGATAATAAGCAAATCTGTGCTCATAGTTACATTCTTTGAATTATTCTGAATTCTAGCAGGGAAAGCATGAAATACATAAAATATCGTCATGGTGATCATTTATGTTTTGAAATAATTAGGAGATTAATTCAGTATGCAAAGCAGCAAGAAATGAACTTTGTTAATACCTTAAACATGCTTCCGATACATCCTTCTTGTTATATTCTGCCTAATTTTCCACCTGATTTTCCATTTTCTCCCTCTCTCTCACCAGGAAAACCATTGGTGTTTTCTGCTGTGGACCCAATTCAATTTCTAAGACTCTTCATAAACTGAGTAACCAAAACAACCCATATGGGACAAGATTTGAATACAATAAAGAATCTTTCAGCTGAAAGCCTTTGAGAGGAACCAGGACTCTGAACAAGGAATGAGTGCAATTTCTAAGACTGAAACTCAGCTGAATCAAGTAGCTGTGTCATGCCAAAGAGTAGCAAGGTTTTCTTATTTATGATTATTTAAAATGGAAATGCAGAGGATGTGGCAAGATGACAGGTCACATTACATGTTTAATCTGGAAACCAAAGAGGCCCTGAAGAATAGTTGCTGTGATGATTCACTTTTCAGTGCTCAAATGAAAACAAAACTATTAGATGCACAATGTTGATTTTTATGGCAGATTCAAGAACTCCCTAGTGAGGTGCCTCACTTGTGAGACTGATAGCCTTGGTCCTCTTTGAATTGTTTTTGGTTGAACAAATGCAAGATTGAATGAAATTAAAAATGCATTGAAACTCAGATTACATTTTCTACGTGAGTATAAACAGAGTAGTTTTGATTTAGGAAAGCTCCAGGCAAATGTAGTAGATGTTTGAAAATACAGCACAGGACTCTGTATTAATACGGGTACTTTGTGTCTCCTCTTCCTTACTACTGACGCTAATACCTCTGTTTGATGTCTGTGGCCTTAATGCTGAATGAACTTTGGTAGATGTTGATAGAGTATCTATTTTTATGTTTTTCTTTCTTCTTTTTTCCTCTATGGAAATCTGCCCTCCTTTGCATGCATTAGACATGATGATTTAATAGGTCCTTTTCATCTGCAATTTACTTAATCTATTACTGTTGCAATAGTAATGAGGAAAATATCATCACGGTAAATCATAAAAGGATATATAGACTAATAACTTTTCCCATTGCTCAGCATTTTGGCCTCTGTTATTTTTATTTACTTTTTTCCCCAGCATAGATTGTCTTATTTTTCACCTCTGAAGGTACTTTGTTTAATTTGCACTTTGAGACCGGAGAGCATTGTGTCTCTCAGTGGTCACTGAGATGTAAGATATCTCTCTTTTGCCACATATTGGTTTATACTGGAGACATTGAAAGTGCAGCCACATTCCTGAACAACAAGAGGAAATACTTCATTAATTATTTGAATTTAAGTTCAGAATCAGGAATATTATTTGTTGCACCATCTGGTATTTTGGGTCTTGATGGGAAATTATCGAGTTTAAAGTCACTGTTGGGACGATACTGCATAATCCTATCACTTTATGCTCACTGGCCATTATATTCTTGGCTCAGAGGAAAACTCCATTTCCCTACTTTAAGAATTAAGTCATTTTTTGCAGTTTAGTGATTTTATTTTGTAGACATCTATCAACTGCTATCAAATAGAACACATTGCTGAAATAAGCAGAATGACTTATCTTGCCTTTGTTAAAATTTTGCGTGGTTTCACAGAACATGATAGATGCTACTGTCATTTTTTCTCTGATTCACCAATAGCAATCAAGCATGATAAACCATCTAGCATTGAATGCCCATGAACATATTACTTATAGATATTTCTTCCTTCCCTTGGAATTCTTTCTTCTTCCTTCTGTGGAAGGAAGGCGAGTCAGAAAAAGATATGGGAAATGTGCAATATTCCTACAGATTTAGCTCTGAAGGCATATTTGATAACCAGTACATCTTGGCAACACTTTCTAAACTAAAAAGAATTTTCATAAAAACACATAACAGAAAGAACAAGTAAAAAGAAATTTGAGTTAGTACAGGCTTGATGTGCAATACTGACTCTTTGCTGATCATAGTTTATTGATGTGATTATACTAATACCCCTAATTTCAGTAAAAGAGGTGGAAGATTTTTTCAGAAAAGGAAACATCTTTCCAGGTAGGTCTGCTATTCTAGATGAACAGCCCTGTCTCTTTGAAATTCTGGTTGATGTTCAAACATGAAATGTTAAATACAGGTCATCTTTGCTTCTATAGGTAGTAATAAAATTAGGTTTTCATCATGCATGTAGAAGAGAGTTTTGTTTTGTTTTGAGGGATTTTTTTTCTCTGGGGCTATGCCTTGTCCTACAGGTCTTAAAACAGTCATGTCAGTGGCAATAAATGTTAAAATTGAAAGGGTATCATGAGATCTCTATAAGCATGCTTTACCTTTGCAACAAATAAAGCAGGCAGTGTTTTTTCACAAGATGAGGCAAATTGAAGAAACAATCTATTTGCATCTACACTAGCATGAGAGCCTTAGGGGTTTGAATTCTACAGCTGTGGATGTCACTGGCCCATGGTGTAACTGTGGCAAGTTGCTCCCACTTTGGGATTAAGATTTCTTGTTTGGACTAGATCAGTAGTATTAATCTTTTCTGGGTAATGTATCTTTTTGAGAACCTGATTAAAAGTGAATATAATGACATTAATGCAAAATATTACATACAATTTTGGGGAGCCCACAATCTCCCCAATTTAAGAACCCTAAGCGAGGACCCCAATTTAAGAACCTCTGAACAAAATAATCCATCACTCTAGATCTTTCTACGTATACATTTTTTGTGATTTTTTTTTTTGCAAGAAACTATCCATTTTTGTAAGATGATAGTAGGAAATTAACTCTGTGGACAAAGGAAAGGAAATTCTCTTTATATGCCCTCAAACAGAGAATCCAACAGAACATTCCCTCAGTTTTTTTTTTGTTTTTTTTTGTTTTTTTTTTTTTAAAGATTTTATTTATTTATT